CTGTGAATTCGAGGCCAGCCTGGTCTACAGAGTGAGTTCCAGGAAAGGCGCAAAGCTACACAGAGATACCCTGTTTCGAAAAACCAACAAGAGAGGAAGGAAGGAAGGAAGGAAGGAAATCAGAATGTCAACTAAGTTAGATGAACTTTCTTTAATACTCTTTACCTTTGCTATCCTAATTCTTCAAACTGAGTATATTCTACTTCTCTCTGAAAGTATTTACATGTATGTGTGCCCATATAATTATATGTGTACATTTATATGAAGGATTTATTTGTGTGTGTGTGTGTGTGTGTGTGTGTGTGTGTGTGTGTGTATGCGCTCGCGTGCGTGCGCACACGATTACACATGTGTACATTTCTGTGAAGGAGGAGACCAGAGGTCAGCCTCAGGCATTGTTCCTCAGAGTCATTACTGTAGTTTTGAGACAGGATCTCTCACTGGAACTGGGGGTTCATAGACTGAATGGGGGGGTTCATAGACTGGGCTAGACTGGCTGGCAAGCAAGCCCAAAGGGTCCATTTTTCTCCACCTTTCCCATCCCCAGTTCTGAGATTCTCTTTCCATAAATAAATAAGTATAATTTTTAAAAATTAAAGACTCTTTAGTAGGAGCAGGCAGCCCCTCACATCCCTCACACCCCAGGCAGCCAACATCCTTCTACCCCAGCAAAAGGAGATTTCCTCCCAGGAAAGACTGAGCCAAAGGGTCTCTGCCATGAGGAACAGCGGGCCTGCTGGAGGAGGAGTGTTGAGTAAGTTTGCTAGCTGGTAGAACAAGCCAGCATACACTGGGGGCCGAAGACAATAAAACCAGAGGCCTAAAATCAAAAGGCCACTCTTCGCCCCTCTGGTTTCCAGTGGCTTCGATGTCCCTTGGCTTGTGGCCGCATCACGCCAGCCTCTGGCTTCACTGTCCTGTGAGCTCATCTTTTCTGTAAGCTCCTTATAAGACACTTGTCACTGGATGTGACATCTGGGGAATGCAGGATGACCTCATCCAATTATATCTGCGAAGATTCTTTTTCTGGATAGGCTCACATCGGAGCACTCGTGGGCTCCAGGCATACGTCATGGGCATATTTGTTGGGGGAGCCACTGTTCAATCCACTTTATGCACCATACTGGGAAAAGGGATAAGTGGACGTCTGTACCCTGAACTGTGGGGTGGCAGCTCTTTTCTCCTTCACACTTCTCAGCATCCTGGAAGGAAGGTTTATACTCCCAGGTGGGAGATGGGAGACTCACTTGAGAGAGACCAACTGGCCGAGGCGAAAGTCTCCATACACTAACAGGAGGCTTCTACCAAGCCTGTCCCACCTGACTGCCCTTCCACGTGAGCGTGCCCCATGGAGCTGTCAGGTATCTCCTGGCAAAAAGGATCACCATACGTGTATAGGAAGTCCCCAACCCCATAGATAGAAACACAGCAGCCACATAGGAGATGAGGGGGGGAGGAATGTGAGGAGACAGAAATCTCCTCAGAGTTCTCTCTTCCTAAGGAAGCAGAAAAAATAAACACCCAGAGCTTAAAAAGCAATGCAAAAGCTCAGCAGATAAAGGCATGTTCAGACAAGCCCCATGAGCTAAGGTTAGTGCCCAGGACCCACATGGTAGGAGTGAGATATCTCACAGGTTGTCCTCTGACTTTCACATGTGTACTATGGTGCACACGCACGTGCACTCACACTCACACACACACACACAATAAATAAATAAATAAATAAATAAATAAATAAATAAATAAACAAATAGAAGCTGGTGAGATGGCTCAGCAGTTAAGAGCACTTCCTGCTCTTACATAGGATCCAGGTTCGATTCCCAGTACTCACATGCCACAAACACCTGCAACTCCAGCTCCAGGGAATCCCAAAATTGGATTCTGGCCTCCTCAGGCACCAGACATACACATGGTACATATACACACATGCAGCACTCATACATACCCATAAGATGAAGTAAATAAATCCTTAAACGTTATTTTCAGAGAGGGGGCTGGAGAGATGGCTCCACAGTTAAGAGGACTGGATGCTCTTTCAGAGGACCTGGGTTCAATTCCCAGCACCGACATAGCAGCTCACAACTGTCTGTAACTCCAGCTCCAGGGGACCTTACACTCTCACACAGACATACATGCAGGCAAAACACCAATACACATAAAATTAAAATGAATTATATATTAAAAAATTATTTACAGAGAGATGCATGTGTGTTGTATTTATGAAATAAAGTTAAAATAGAAAGGAGCTAGAGTGGGTGTCACAGGCCTATAAACCCAGTACTTGGGAGGTTGTGGCAGGAGAATCCTGAGTCACAGGCCAGCCTGACATACAAAGAGAGAGCCTGTTTCAAAACAAACAAAAATTATAGAGGCATTTAGAAAAACAGTGTTTTTTTAAAAAAAAAAATATGCAAAAGAGGTAGCTTATATTCAATATGAGAGTTAAGAGGTAAATTTGTGGAAACTTCCCACTAAGCAAAACAAGCAAAGAGTGGAGAAGGAAGGGAGAGAAAAAACAACCCAAGATTAGCTGGGAAGGTCCAGCAGATGACCTATAGGATAGTCATAAAGCATAAGAGTCAGGCATGGGGGCACACTTGTCATACTAGCGTCCAGGAGGCTGAGGCTAGAGGAGTTTGAGGCTAGCCTGCACTTCAGAGTACAATCCTGTGTCGAAGAGAGGGAGAGGAGAAGAGAGAGAGAGAGAGAGAGAGAGAGAGAGGAACTATGAATATTTTAAAAACAGAAACAGAAGAAATAATACAAGAAAATTTTCTAGCACTAAAAGTCTTGCTTCAGATCAGTTGAAACAGGGATCAGAAAAGGGATTTTACAAAGCTCTATTAACGTGAAATTTCAAAAGCAATAGTGATTAAAAAAAACATTTCAAGGGGGGCTAGCAAGCTGGCTCAGTGGGCAAAGGCACTTGCTGCCAAGCCTAATGACCTAAGTCTGCCCCCCCCCCACAGAGGACCCACGTAGCGGAAGGAAAGAACGCAAGTTGTCCTCTGACCTCCACGCATATCACGATGTGCGTGCATATGCACAGGCACACAAATAGATGTCATAATAATTTCTTAAAAGTCTAAAAGCCTTCAGAGAGACAAAATGGGTTATTTACAAAGAAAAAAAGGAATCAAAGTAGACTCAGAATTGTCAAGTTGTAAGTGTGTAAACCTGAAGACAATAGATCAAAAATTCTAAAGTTTGAAACAGTTTCCAAAGTAGAGTTGTGTGCCGGGCATAACTATCAACCAGGGGCAAGAAAGACATTTTCAAATATGCAAGCTCACAAGGTAATGTCTCCTGCAGACACTTCCTCAAACATCTATGGAAAATACACTCCCCCCCAAAAGAGGGAGCCAATCAAGAAGGACAATTTTATAGTTCAAGAGAAGGATTCCAAGAGGGAAGAAACATGGAGGCGTTTGTCAGATGAAGTCTCAGGACTAGGGCTGGACAGTGGTCCCAGAGAAGCATCTGCCCCAAACGCAAGAGGATGAAAGCTTTCAGGAAAGATATCACCCAAAGAGCTAGGTGACATGGCAGGAGGCTGAAGTGGGAGGGTCATTTGAGTTAAGGAGCTCCAGGGCAGCCTGGGCAGCATAATGAGACCCCCATCTCACAGCCAATCAGAGCGGAAACACAAACGACAAGATTGCCTGGTGCTTTTATAGATCAAAACTTCAGGCTGAGGGCCTGGAGAGATGGCTCAGTGGTTAAGAGCACTGGCTGGCTGCTCTTGCAAGAGGGTCCAGGTTCAACTCCCAGTACCCATGTGGTGGCTCACAACCGTCCGTACTTACAGTTCCAGGGGATCCTATGCCCTCTGAAGGCACAGGTCTACAAGCAGACAAAGTATCTATACATATTTGTTTTTTGTTTTTTTTTTTTTAATTTGGAATTGAATTCCTAATAAATACCAAGACTATGAATCAGATTGTTTTTTAAAAATAGAAATAATCATTAACTCAACGAGAGAAGTAAGACAGTTAAAAATACAACCAGGACCCATTATTTTGCTCAGCCTTAAATATGTATGAAGCCATAATAAACATCAAATATTGATTTAAAAGTGTTAAAATTGGGCTGGTGAGGTGGCTCACCAGGTAAAGGCACAGGCCATCGACCTGAATTCTATGCCCAGGACTCACGTGGCAGAATGCTAACTGACTCACAAAGGTTGTCTTCTGACTTCTTCTTCTTCTTCTCTCTCTCTCTCTCTCTCTCTCTCTCTCTCTCTCTCTCTCTCTCTCACACACACACACACACACACACACACACACACACACACACACATAAATAAATAATCAAATGTAATTTTTAAACTGACAAAATCATAATTGAAGAAGAGTCGAGTATGGACCAATGAATGTAACATTCTATCTTCCATAGTACAAGACCAAGAATCAAGACTTCAAAACTGTAAAATAGGAAAATGAGCAATATGTTTGGTTGTTGTTTTAAAATATCTGAAATACATCCTAAAAAAAAAAAAAAAAAAAAAAAAAAAAAAAAAAAAAAAAAAAAAAAAAAACCAAAAGCAGTTAAAAGTGGCTGCCTCGGGGGCAGGGCTACAGGGTGGGAAAGGCTAGGATGAAAATGCATGGTTTATTATGAGGCCTGTGATTTTTAACTTTTTAACTACGTGCATGCATTCTTTTAATTCATTAATTCATTATGTTTAGAAGCATCAATTCATAACGTTTCAGTTTACTTAGCATGCACGAAGCCCTGAGTTCCATCTTCAGTACAGCAGAGCCCAGCACAGTGGCACACCTGTGCAATCTCAGCTTTTGGGAGGTAGAGCCAGGAGAATCAGAAATTCAAGGTCATCCTCAGCTACAAAGCAGGTTCAAAGCTACCATGAGACCCTTGTCTTAATAACAGTAATATCATACTAATATATTAAGCAAACAGAAACACGTGACATTTCTAACCTTGGCCTTTGGTTTCCAGCCCACCCCCTGTGGTGTCTTTTCTGGGTGGGATCCTGGTACCTTGATGCCCTTTATGCCTCCCCCAATGCATTCTAAGTCCAAGTGTCTGTCAGCCAGTGACTGTCTGGAGTGCCAAGGTGGAGTCTCTGCCAGAAGCTTAGACTCTCCTCTTCCATCTCTATTATCAGCCCTCTGGATCTGCAGCTTCGGCACCCGCAGACTTAGCCATCTGCAAATACAAAATAATCAGGATGAAAGCAAACAGACTCAGACCTTTTCTTCTCATTATTCCCTAAACGATACAGTAAAACTACTGTTTGCAGAGGATTAGCACATACAGGACGGTGCGCACAGGCTATAGGCAACACTAGGTCACTGTAAGTGAGAGACTCGAGCATGCTCAGATTTTGTTATCTGGACGGGGTCTTGGAACCAGTCCCTCGTGGGCACCGAGAGAGAACGCACGTTTGTCGTTATTACGTTCTCATTGCTGCAGTAACACACAGTCGCTAGCTTAGCCCCTCGAAGCAACACAAATTTATTATTTTACAGCTCTGTAAGTCTGACTGAGCTCAAACCAAGGGGCCAGCAGGGCTTCGTTGCTTTCTGGAGGCCCAGGGGAGTGAGTCTTTTGGGGGCTTCTAGAAGCTGCTGGCATTCCTCAACGAGCAGCCCCCCACCCTCACCCCACCCCACCCCACCCCCCACCCCACCCCCCACCCCACCCCCGTCACCATCTTAACAACCCAAAATACATGCTATTGTCCTGAGACTGCATCAGAGCACTACTGCATTCCTATCCTTGGTCCTGGCTCTTCTGTCTCCCTCTTCTCCTTCAAGGACTCTTTAAAAAAACATTTTTTAATTATATGTACGTGAAAGCAGCTATGTGTATGTTGTGCGTGTAAATGCAGGTGCCACAGGGGCCAGAGGGCAACAGATCCCTTGGAACTGGACTTACAAGTCACCTCATGTGGGAACCAAATCCAGGTCCTCTGAAAGAACCGTCTTAACCACTGTGCCATGTCTCCCCTTTTAAGGACTTCTGAGATGATGCCTGTCCCACCTAAAAGATGCAGGCTCCACTCCCTGTCAAGACCCGCTGATGAACCCTTTATATCCTGCCTGAAGCCCAGGACCATTCAGTGTATTCACAGGAACGGGAATCAGGGTATAAACCTCTTAGGGAAGAGAGCTTCCTTCTGACTATCACAATCTTGGGGTTTGTTTAGTATTAAGTTTTCAGGGTATGCCGGGCGGTGGTGGCGCACGCCTTTAATCCCAGCACTCGGGAGGCAGAGCCAGGCGGATCTCTGTGAGTTCAAGGCCAGCCTGGGCTACCAAGTGAGCTCCAGGAAAGGCGCAAAGCTACACAGAGAAACCCTGTCTCAAAAAACCAAAAAGAAAAAAAAAAAAAAGAAAAGTTTTCAGGGTGTGTGTGTGTGTGTCTGTGTTTCTGTGTCCGTGTGCGCGCGTGCACATGTGCATGTGTGTACAGGTGCACATGTGTGTAAAGGACACGGGTCAACCTCAGGTGCCATTTCTTAGAAACTCTGTTTTTGGAGACAGGTCACCCACGGGCTCTGGATCTAGACTAGGCTGGCCAGCGGGCCCCAGCGGTCCGTCTCTGCATCACTGGGTTCACTAGTGTGGGCCACCAGGCCCGAGCTGTCTTGTATGGGTGCTGGAGATCCAGTTCAGGTCCTCATGCTTATGAGACAAGCGCTTTATCAACTGAGCCATCTCCCCAGCCCCCAATTTTGTTTATTTTAGTATTGTATTTAAAAAATATTTATCTTAATTACTGAAGATCCCCCATGTTGCACAAATCCTAAATGGTCTTATAATAAAAACCCGGAGCCAGATATTGGGTAAATGCTGAAGGATCAGAGGAAACAAGCCACAGACACTTCTCACCTGAAAGGGGAAGATCCTGTCTCCACGAATCTTCAGACTGAATGCCTGAGTCCTCACATCTTATATGCCTTTCTCCACCCAGCCACATCATTTCCTGTCTCAACCTTCCTAGTGCTGGAATTAATGGTGTGTGTGCGCTTCCCAAATACTGGTAGCAAAGGCATGAGATCTCAAGTGCTGGGATTAAAGGAGTGTGCCACCACCGCCTGGCTCTGTTTCTTTTAGACTGGATTAATCTCATATAGTCTAGGGTGGCTTTGAACTCACAGAGATCCAGACGGAACTCTGCCTCCCTAGCTCTAGGATTAAAGGTGTGTGCCACCACTGCCTGACCTCTATGGCTAATTCTGTGGCTAGTTCTGTCCTCTGATCTTCAGGCAAGCTTTATTAGAGTACAACAAATAATCACCACACCCCCAACTCCCCCCCCCCCCAAACACCCTGCTCTAGAACTTTATTCCTGAGGTGAGTGTCTTAGTTAGGGTTTCTATTGCTGCGAAGAAATACTGTGACCAACTGGGCGGGATGGCACATGCCTTTAATCCTAGCACTCGGGAGGCAGAGCCAGGCAGATCTCTGTGAGTTCGAGGCCAGTCTGGTCTACAGAGTGAGATCCAGGACAGGCACCAAAACTACACAGAGAAACCCTGTCTCGAAAAACCAAAGAAAAAAAGGAAAGAAAGAAAAAAGAAAAAAATAAAGACTGTGACCAAAAGCAACTTGGGCAGGAAAGGGTTTATTTACCTTAAATATCCCATGTCACAGTTCAACAAAGGAAGCCCAGACAGGAACTCAAACCCTCAAACCAGGCAGGAACCTGGAGGCAGGAGCTGATGCAGAGACCATGAAGAAGTGCTGCTTACTGGCTTGTTCCCCATGGCTTGCTCAGCCTGCTTTCATATAGAACCCAGGACCACCTGCCCAGGGAAGGCACCACCCACCATGGTTTGTACCCTCCTCTGATCACTAGTTAAGAAAATGCCCTAGAGGCCTGTCTGTCTTACGAAGGCATTTTCTCAGTTGAGATTCCCTCCTCCCAGATGACTCTAGCCTGTGTCAAGTTGACATAAAACGAGTCAGGACAATAAGGCCCCCTAAAGTAGGCCCTGCCCGGATCTCCTCCTGGCCCACCCTTAAGCCCAGCCCAATCAAACAGGTGTAGGAGTTGGGGTGGGATGGGGGGGGGTGTCATCCGACCAGAATCCAGCCCAGTTCTACAGGCCCCTTCCCAGCCATACATTCGGCTCCAGTTTGAGAGGTGGAGGCTCAGGCTATTGAGTCAACGATGGGAAGAAAAGTTGTTCAGGATCAGTTCTGTTTCTCAGGCATCCAGAGAAGAGGCAGCCCCCCACCCCTCATCACGCGTACACCCGATCCTCCCCTGGTGGCTGCAGAGTTAGCAGCCTTTCAGACTGATGGCACCCAGGGAAGGCTGGGGCGAGAAGGAGGGGCACTGAAAGGGGATCCTGGGACAGTCTGAAGGTCACAGGCAGCCAGCGGGTGTCAGAGCCACCGCAGGGAGGGAGGAGGGAGGAACACTAGAAAGAGGTTGCTGCTTCCCCTCTCAGAGAGGCCCCAGGAGGCAGGGGTCTGATTCCAGCCACTCTGACAATGTCACCAAGGAGACTGACTGCTGGGGGTGGGGGGGTGGGGAGGACGACATGAGAAAGGAGAGTCTCCCACCCGGAGGCTGGGGGAGGGGAGGGCTGACACAGTTTAAGGTGGAGGCAGGGTGCCGCCAGAGTTCTCAGAATGGAAGTTAGATGGAGCTGGAACAACCTGTACACCTCCATGAGCCTGCCTGGCAAACCTCAGAGCCTTGCACTGAAGACCTCCCCCTGCACCTAACCGTTCTCCTCCTCCTCCCCCTCCCCCTCCTCCTCATTCGACTCAGCCTCAGCAGGTGGAGGTCATTCCCGTTTGACAGGTCTGGGATTTGTGACTACCATCACCGTGGGACAGCCTCCCGGCTCCCCAGTTCCTCTCTTCTGCCTCTTGGTATCCCTCTCAGGAAGGGACAGGAAAAAGATGAAGACTTGGGAGTAAGCTCCCACACCGCTACCCCTGCCTGGCTGGCTGCAAGTGTTACTGTGGGGGCAGAACGTGTGTCAAGACCAGCTCTCCCTCAAGAGTTAGCACCCCAGAACGCTGGCTGGAGTCTAGGGGAGAAGCCCGTATGAACATCCCTCGGCACAGCTCAGGCTGCCAGCCCCGTTACCTGCTTCCCCATGACTGAGGCTCAGGTCAGATCATGGCGTCCAGTCACTGATCTCAGGTCCCTACAGTCTCTCCCCTGGGTAAACGCAGGGACAGTGGCCTCCTGACCACCCCACCTCTGGATAGCCCCTCCTGCTTTGTTTTCAAGAAACGGGTCACTTCTGAGGAACTGTTGCAGAGAGGGTGATCCCACGGGCAGAGGGGAGCTGGCTTGAGATTGTTGCGGGAAGGATTTCAGCCCAGGTGGCTTCTGGGAATCCACTGGGCCCATAGCACCTCCCTTACCTCCCCTACCTGCACTCTGCACTCTAAGGTACCTTCCAACGCTGCGGGGCACCAGGCAGGGACTTGGCAGGTATTGATTGAATTTATTCCTCTCGCCCCTGCTGTGGCAGAGCCCCAAGGAAAAATTTTCTTCCACAGAAGTACTGGGAGGAGGAGAAGGCCCAGGCATTTAGAAGGCAGCAACTTCCTGGGTCCTGTCTGTACTGAAGATTGTGCCAACTGGGCAATAAGACCCAATGTGAGGCAGGGGCTAGCAAGATGCTCCTGGGAGCGGGGAGTCCCTTCCTCCATGCCATCAGAGACCGGCATGATTGGCAGCTCCCATATCAGATTTCCTCCAAAATTTGAAACGATGGAGCAGGTCCTTTCTCCCCATGCTCCAAAGCTGGCTGGCCAGAGTCACGAGGTCACTAAGACCAGGTCTCACTATCAGGTGGGGAGGGATGGAGGAGGGACCAGGCTCCCCGGATGCTCTGCCAGGGGTTGGGAGGCTAGAGGAGGACAGAGCTGAGGGAGGGAGAAGGAAGAGAAGAAATTCACGTGCGTGCGTGCGTGCGTGCGTGCGTGCGTGGAGAGGAGGATGGGAAGCGACTCCCTCCAGCACCTGCTGAGCAAGCCAGCCTGATGTGGCCACCTCAGGTCTGAGGGCCATCCTAGCTCTGCAGAAGCATGGAGGGGCGGTTCCCATCACAGACAGGGGTTTCCGTGAGCCTTTAGCCGCCTGAACCCCTCACTGATGGGGAAAGGACTAGAATGGTACCCAGGAGGACCGGTGACCTGAAGGGCCAGAGGTCCTAGTCCAAGCCCACCAAGGCCAGCCCTTGCTTCTTCCCCTGGGCCCAATCAGACGCTTCGCTTCGTACTCTGAGTTGCCAACTTATTACTCAGAGGGCCCCAGAGCTGTTGACCCACAACTAATCACTAATGGTGTGCATATTTTGCATATCATTTGCATTCCCCTGAGGCTCTCCGGAATCACTCCCTAGAGGCCCCTCCCCTGTCTCTCAGGGCTCTC